GAAGAGTGGTTTGCACAGTGAAATTTGGAGGGCTATGAAAGCCAAGTGGCACGATCGTGAAAGTGAGTTGACCTTGGGAGATGACTCTTCTCTTCTCGGCACGATGAATTTAACTTTACGACCACTGGAGGACCTCTCTCCTCTCCGCCATAGAGAAACTTCCACGAACGTAGTTGTAGCAAGTCCTACCACGGCGGTACATGACAAGGACAAGGAAATACCCACGTGTGCGGAGGATGAAGATTACTACGAGGATATTCGAGATGTATATGGTCAATAGTTTGTGCAATTCTTCAAGCAAATGGATAAGGTGCTCTACTTTAGTGGTCAAGTCAACTCAAGTGAAGAAGAGACAAGTGGCCTTCAAGAGGACTCCTTCAAGTCCAAGGCCCAAATACGTAGCCTAGAAGATGAGAACAAGTTTCTCCCTGACCAAATGCGTTTTCTTCTTTAGAGAGTGTGGCAAGAGCTCGTCTAATCAAAGAAGAATCTTGAGTCAAATTGTGTCAAATTTCATAAAGATCTTCGTGAATCGAATGAGCTGTCCAATAGACATTCCCAACCCAATGAGACGATTGGTAGGATGTTTTCTATGGGAATAAGTTTGGGTGACAATCGTGGTTTAGGCAACACAAATGAACGCACCCACACTTCTTCCAAGGCCTTGTTTGTCAAATTTATCAGCAACCCATCACCCCGACAAGTTGACACACGCTCAAAAAATTTTAAGAATGGTATGGGTGGGAATTCAAAGAAGAATGTTGCTAATGAAACTGAAATCATTGGTGTGTGCCAAGAAAGGATTATTGGGGGTTCCCATAAATCGCTCGAGGCCGAGATGAACCATGGGGCAAAAAGGTCCAGGTGAAGCTGCACAAGACGTTGGAGAGGGACTTTCCGCGGAGAAACATAGCAGGGACAAGAGCATCTGACCAGGGTATTGGTTGAGGTATAATTCTAGAGTACTTGCATGCTGACTTCGAAAGTAGTGGATTCTGCCTTGGTGAACTTAGGGAGGTTCCTCGAGGTTTTTTCAGAGGGGGTTTTTTGCGTCAACAAGTGGCTAGTGGTCTTTACTTTTGATTGTACAAAATTGCATTTGTTAGCACACACACGCGCTGTCTGGTTGTTTATTTGATTGTACGAAAATCTTTCAACCATAGGTGTACAATTGGGTGTCTGGGTTTGTTGGGATCCCCGTGAGAGTGAGCTGAGTGATTTAATTGCATATTAATTAAAATCAATCCTCATGGTACAATGGGTTTGTGGTGACTGAAACTTTTCTCACATTCATTGCTTCATATTTGTAAGAAAGGGGTTATTGTGGTCGACATAGGTCTTAATTCGTAATCAATTTGGGCTGAACTTGAAAAATGAATTCACCCCCCTCTGGGTTATTGGGGATAAACCTTTCATTACTACTAGTTAGTTTTGAATGGATTCTTAAAAGGAAAGTGGTTCAGTTGGACGACCACCACTCTTCGATGGATCGAACTTTGCAACATGAAAAGTTGATAGGAGAGCATTTTCACAAATCGATAGATGAGAGAGAGTGGTTGACTCTCCAATAGGGTTGGAGACCTTCCACGGCCACCACACAAGTTGAAAGTGGTGAAGTAAAATCGTCGAAGCTATGGATTAAAAGTGAGAATGAATCCAAGGCGTGCAACTAAAAAGGGTTGAATGCGATATTCAATGCTGCAACACCAAATGAGTTCCGAAGGATCACTAATTACAAAGCATCAAATAAGGCATGCGGGAAACTGGTTATTTCCCCCGGAGGGACTTCCTTGGCGGAGAAGTCACGGCCCCAACGGTACACCTCTCAATTTGGGAGTTTGAGGATACAAGATGATGAAACATTTAGTGAATTTCCAACTAAATTTCATGACACTGTTATTTAATTATTTGCATTAGGTATCAAGGGTTGACAATGTGGCCATCAAGTCAAAAATCTTGATATCTCTAGTCGGGAGATTTCGTGTAAAAGTCTCATCCATGGAGACAAGTGTCAATACAGACTTGGTGTCTGTAGAAGACCTAGTGGTGTGTATCCTGACCTTTGAGAAGATCCTTCCATGCTTAAAGTAAGCTATGGGCATGGCCTTGTGCTCAAATAATCGAGGAGGTAAATCCGGTTCACCCCAATTTTGCAAGGAGGACCTGGGATGGCAAAGAAGTTCAAAAAATATTTCAAGACTGGTAATGTTTTGTGCATAGGGCCAAAAGGAATACCTAG